AGCGATTGGCTTGCTAGCCATATAAGAGGCTTGAGTGGTTTCCGCCCAAGTTGGAGGACTCCACGACCATCAGGAGGAGGAGAACTTCACATCTCGTGAAGATCTCTAAGCGCTGCGGAGCCTATCGGACCTAGCGTGTATTTCAAGAAGGCTATAGGGGTCTGATCAACCTCTCGCCTCTCCCCGTTGCCGCCTGATCCCTCGACGTACCCTTCCCTGCGCGCAAAGTTCCACGGAGCCTAGCAAACTTCGTGTGAGTGAATCCAGAGCTCTACCCGGGGTTCGAGTCCTGCAGTTTTTTCTTCCCGTCGCCGAAACCCCATTGCGACGTACTCCTGAGGTTTCTGTTCATCTCCCGTTGCCAAAACCCCATTGCGACGTACCCTTATGTTCTGCAGGTTTGAGTTTTTTGTTTTGTTTTGTAACCGCAACTCAAGCAAGTTTTCCTGCCTGCACCACGACCATCTTCGGTGTAAGTAAAATAATCTTAAATCAACCACTAAGCATCTGTGCCTAATTCTAGCGTGCCGCCTGTCTTCCCCGACCCGGTGTGTCCGGGCTGCTGGCCACAGTCCGCCGCACGAAAAAAGGGCCTCGGACTGCTCCCAGCCCGCACAGTTAGAACAACAAAATAGCCTTGTGTTCTTTTTGGCTTTTCATACTCTAGCAGATGAAGCAATGCTCTCAGCAGTCTGTATAACAGTAGTTGATTTATAAGGTTTTTCAAAATCTTCTTAAGAGGGTGGCAGAGACCTTGGAAAGACCTTTAAGAACAGTCATATAAATTAGATGAATTTCTGCATCTAGTATTACAAATTCATGGAAATATACAATCTTTGGGCTGCTCCTGCCTCCCTGTTGGCAACATCTGAACCAAACTAGCAATGTATAGTTATCAGGTTCTTCCAAAATAATTAAAATATTTTTATAATTGTCTTGCCCTGTGTTCCTTGTTATTGTTCTTCTTGAATAGTTGACATAGCCTGGACCTGGACCTGCAAAATCTCTCTCAAAAGATAAGCATCCAAAGAAACTTTATTTTAAAGGAAAATTTGCTCTTCAGTTACTTTTCAAGTTAGGAAAGTGAACTGTTTGTCTGGGTGATGGGACTTGGAGCAGGAGTAGAAGTTTAGGTTGGATAGTAGGAAGAGCTAAAGATTAAAGATTGAGGTGATGGAATCTTCCCCCCTGGAAAGTTTTTAGGAAAAGTTTAGACCAGGGGTGGGCAATTATTTGGGTTGGAGGGCTGGGTGAGCCATTGAGGGCTGATGAGGGAGGGGTGCAGGTAGAGGCAGGGAAATGCTTGTTGAACCTGTTTCCTATCCAGCCTACCAGCCACAGCTGGGATCCAGAGGAAGGAGGATTGTTTCCCGTGCTGCTCCACTGTGCTGCAGCTGAAGCCAAGCTGGGCTGCACAACATGCAGACTTCTCCACTCCTCCACCCCCTGCATCCACCCCCTCCTGCCCAGCTTCCTGTTCATGCTGCTGCTGTGCAATCCTGGCAGTGTGGCCTCTGGCAGCCTTCACGTGGTATAGGGTGCAATTCAGCCCAACAAGTAGCTATCCCACCCACCCGCTGCAAAGAGCCACTGCTGTCACCATGCCCCACTGGGAAAGTCAGGGGCAGCTGCCCCAGGCCAAGCTCCACCCCGTGGCCAGCACAGACTAGTGGTGCTGTGGGAGCAGCAGCTTATAATGGTGGGCGGATGGGCAGGACAGCTACTCAGTGCACTGCATCACGTCCCATTCTGTGCAGGCCTGGCTGCCAGTAGCCACAGTGCTAGGACTTCACAGCTGCAGCATCAATAGGAAACCAGGCAGGGGGGTGCGTGCGTGGATGCAGGGGGGTGAAGGAGTCTGTGTGTTGTGTGGCCTGGCCTGGCCCTGGCTGCAGCAGAGCAGAGCAGCACAGGGGGCAGCCCTCTCTCCTCTGGCTCCCGGATAAGAGGGAGGGGTCGGATAGGATCAGCTGGTGGACCAGATATGGCCCATGGACTGTATTTTCCCATCCCTGGGTTAGACAAACACTTGCGTAGGATGATGTAGCAGAGATGTGGGTTTTCCAGAATTTTTTTAATTGGAAAATTTTCCAGTGCCCTAAGTAGAGTGTGATCTGATTTAGCATGTTTATTTGACTTATATTTAGTAAACAAAACTTAAAGAGTACCCCCATGTTAATTTTATGTCCTAATAGCTACAAGTATTTGAACTGAAATATTTGATTAGAAAAAAATTAAATACAGCACACTTAATGTGGTTTAAATGTTAAAAATTCAAAGCTTTATGTAGAAAGAAATTATTTTAGTTGAAATACTTGCAAAAATGTAAAGACAATACACAATAGCATGTACTACCCTTACAATGTTTGTTTAAATTTAAAAAAAAATGAAGGCACTGAAAATTGTTGACATGCTAATTTTAGCACACCCAAAGAATTGTGCATTATATGCCATGGTTGTTCACTCATTTACTTCAACAGAGTTTAACTCTCTTCTACTAGGGTCATTGCAGCACCTCCACTTTCACTGTCACTATCTATAGAATCATTCGCACTACTTATTAGTTCCATTTCAGAATCAAATTGAGGCAAATCTGATTCAGAAATACTTGAACCACATTCTCTTTCGCTAAAGGACGGTTTTACCAATGAGTCTGTGGGGAAGGGCAACTTTTCATCACAGTGCATCTTCTTCTTTAATTGTGCCTCTGCCTGATTCTTCAGAAGCAAGAGATTTTGAGAAATGGAAACAAGCTTAGTGGTGCATTCATTTGTTAGTCTATTCCTCTTTTTTGTCTTGATTTTGCTGAAAGCCTTCCAGTTCCATTCACAAGAAGCTGCTGTTGGTGGAATTCGTAAGATCCTTAGAGCAATCCTGGACAACAGTCAGATGTTACAGTAGCCCTTCCACCATGTGAGAGGAGACATAGTCTCTGCTGCCTGCCAAATGATGTCTTTGCTCCAAAGTTTTCTTTTGCACGGTACTCAGCAATGTCTGTCATCACGGCTCTTTTGTCGATGTTGGGGACACTCTTAGTTACTTCCATAATTGTATCAAGAGCAGTAGATAATTCATCTTCTGATAAATGCTGTCCTCTGTGTTGAGGATCCAAAAGATTTGCTGCCAGATGAACTGGATGAAAGCAAAACTCAGATCTCTTAGTAAACATTTATTTTACTACTACGACTTTTTTTGGATAGAGGTGAAGAAGGCAAAAGATCAATTAGATTTTCATTCTGTTGTCTGAATATCTCTGGAATATTTGAAAGGCTTGGTGTATCTCCTTCAAGTTCCTTGATAGCCACTGAAACTGGTAGTAGCAAATTGAGTGCTCCTTGAACTCGAATCCAGAACACACATTGTTGTCGAGAATCTGCTTCTGAATGTTCACAGGAATAATTTGGGCTACTTTGTTTGTATTGAAGCACACTGCAAACAGTTCTTTGTGTGCAACAAACTATATAAACACTTTGTAGCAGAGCCCCATCTAGTTTCTCCTGGCAATAAAGGTGCCCTTTCCTTCCCCTGCTTCTCTTTCTGTAATTTCTTCAAAATCTGATTAGCAACATGATGATTGTTGAATACTTTCACGATCGCTTTGTAGTTTGCCAATATTGTCTTTGTTGTATTCGCCAATTAGATGAATTCATAATTTGATTTTTGGTTTGGATTATTATGCGAGTGTATTTACCCTCCTGTTTAGAAGTCAGTAAAACATATATGTACTCTCTCTCACGCTTCCTAGGCATAATCACCTGAAAAACATTAATTACAACTTTGAAACTGCCAAGCTTGCCTAATATTGTACTGGCATCCAGTCATTGTTACTAATTAATTTTATGAAACAATGAATTTTTAGAAATGGAAAATTTCCCATGGAGAAATTTTCTGGAAAATTTACTGCCTCATATCCCTGTGGTTTAGACAGGGATCATTCTGCCTTGAGCAGGTGATTAGATTAGATGACCTCCTGACTTCCCCCCTCACCTCATTTTTCCGTTACTCTATAATTATGGTAGCGTTAGAGTGGAGTTGCTCAAACTTTTTCTTGTTGCATACCACCTTCCAGATTTACCAGTTGCCCATGTACCCCTAAAAACATACATTTTATATTTTAACCCCTTGCATGCCAATTATTATACTGAAAATTAAGTCTGCCATACACAGTTTCTCCCACATACTCCCAGAGATGTCTTATGTACCACAGTTTGGGAACCCCTGTGTTAGCAATGTTATGGCTCCAATGGTCCAGGAATTATGCAAGAGGCAAAGATTTCTTAGTGTGATATCTTATTGGACCAACTGTATAGTTGGAATAGAATTCGATGAGCTTCATCAAGTCTGAGCAACAAAACCTTATGCTTATACTATTGACTATGTTGTGCTGGCTTTTACAGACAACAGTCAGTTAGGGTCTGACTTCTGACCTTGCTTATCTGTTTTTCTGGACTGTGGCTGTTTGGAATTTCCTCTTGGCTTTGGTAACTTGATTCTAGAGCTCTGACTTGGCCCGTACCTTTGACTGTTCCTGGAATTACCTCTTTCTTTGGGTACCTGGGGCTCCACTTCTGGATTCTTCTTTTCCCCAATGGTCTAACCACTGGGTCTGACTGCCTATGACTTTACTAATAGTAAAGGTTCTTACAACTACTTTTTTAATATCAATACAAACTTAAATATTCTTAGAGTATGTGTCACTGTGTCAATAGAGTATGTGTCAGTCCTTTGAAAATTAGTGCCTCTTTCTGTCATCATATGAAGTCATAAAGTTTTTCTGTTGAATTTGTTACAGATATCTGTTGAGCCCGCCTTCCCCCCATCTTCTCCAGCCTATTTTTCCCAGAATATTTCAGAATCAAGGTGAAATAATGCGTTCAGACCTGCAGTTGTTTGCACCCAACAGTTTGACTGTTGGGTGATTAATTACTATTGACAGCTCTCTACAAGTTCATGAGTTTTTTGCATTGTATGAGAAACTTTGCCCTAGAAAGACCGACTCCTCTGATACGGGACAGCTTGCTTATTTAAGCAATGTAGAGCAATATTGACCCTTTAGATTTATACCATAGAAGATTCTGGATGCCATGCTGCTCCTGAAACACTCTGGTGAACATTTGACTTCCATAATTTTCACCTCATTTGTACATGTATCTGTGATACCTCATGTCACATTCAGGTACTGTCTGACTTCATCTTATAATGCCATATAGGATAACTCTTCAAGATGCCTCTTTCCTGTTTGTCCTCCATCAGAGACATGACTCTGACATAATCCTAAAATTTTGGAGCCTTTGTTGGAATCAGTATCTGAGTGCTTACTTTACATACCACATTTCTATCAAAATGGTTGTTCTTGTGGCTGTTACCTTATTACAAAATGTCAGTGAACTGCAAGCTTCGTACCACTTTATCAATTCTTCAAAGGACAAGGGACAGATTCTAGGAATTCAGCCTAATGGCTGAATTCAGGGTCTAGGAATTCAACCTGAGCTACTTTGATTACTAATATTGTTTGTGAAGCGTCATTCAGTGCCAGAATAAGAAGCTGCATACTTTGAATGTTGTGGAGCTTTTTCTTAGGAAGACCATCATTTCCTTAACAGAAAGTATTTTCAAACTGCATCTTGATGACTCAGTCTGGCATCAGAGGCAATATTATTTCATTGCAGTGAATTTCCAAGTAGATCGCATGGCATATTTCCGTTGTGCAAAATGTCTTTGTTTCCTTCAAATGCCAAGGGAAACTCTTTCAGGGCAAATGCAATATATGCCTTCTTCAATAAGCTGCTGGTTCAGCTGCCTTCTTCAGGAATCAGCTATATAGAGCAACTCACTAATTCTTTTTTTCAAACATTATACAGTTGATGTGACAGTTGGGTCAGATGTCAAATTTGGAAAAGCAGTACAGCAGTCACTGAAACTCTTCCCTCCTTGTCCAATAGGATACTGCTTGACAGTCAGCATAAAAGGGATCTGTGCTGATGTATTTGAAGAAAAAAGAGTGATTATTTATTCTTCAGTAAGTGAACTTCTTCAAGATGTTGTCAGTGTAGCTCTCATGATTCGATTTCTGTTTCCTTTTTAAGAATCCTCAACGATACAGGCCTTGAAGTACAAAAGGCCTCCAGGAAGATTGAGACTACTCTGCCCTCAGAGTCTTCAAAGAGAAAGACAAAGATGGGTAAGCATTCAAGGCTCCTATGGACATTGCTATTAAAACAAATATTGGTCTCATGCACAAGGTGCATATACACACGTAATAGGATGGATATAGACTACCTCTTGTACTACTGTAGGGTAAATAGCTCTTCTATATGAGTACTAAATAAATTATTTAATGCTAATGTTTTTATTTTTATTTTTTTAGAATAGATATCGTTAAAGCTAAACACTGATTTCACGAGGATGTCCCATATAAGAGTCTGCTGTGAACAAGACCTTTTTCACAATATTTTAAGTACATTACAGCTTGTTATGCTTATAAATATTTTTTATAGAACAGTGTCCTTCACTCACAGTTAAGAGGGAGCAAGTAATGGCTTTTGGCTGCACAACATCGTAGTAGTCTTTGCTAGAAATATAACTTTTCCAAGCATCAAAATAGTTTTGTCTACTTTGGGATTTTCCCACAACTAAGAATTTGATGTTTAACCTTTTGGCCACCCAGCATGAAGACAAAATTATACTACTTTTATCTACGTGGAAGCGTATTAAATAAGCCTGAAGCCAAATATAAACCAAGGAAGCTAAGTACAGCACTGCTTTGAAACCCTTTTCATTTTAATAATTTTCACAAAATCTCATTGATTGTAGACAGATTACTTTTCAAGAAGAATTTCAAAGAAACCTACTTTTTAAAACTATATTGTTAAAAGATTAATTTATTATAACATAATGCATATTTGACTGCAAGCAAAAGATACTTCTTAGTAGCAAAATAGTAGCCTCTTTAGCTGAAAGCACATACTAGTCTCCTCTTTCTTTATGTCAGTTGAAAAAGTAAAAGGTATACTGACGTGATATAGAGCAGCATAGCAGTTCCATACCCCATGTGGAAATGGCATATGATAGTGTATTTTTTTTCTTGCCTTATATAAATAGAATGTAATCCATTTCATGTTATCCCTGTAGATGTTTTTAGGGTGCTGAAAGTTAAAGTATTGTTCTGGGTTTAGATAATTGATTGTTTCAGGTTACCTCTCTAGAGCTTTATCAGCTTGTAGGCATCAGTTTTCCTAATTTTCAAACAGCAAATCCTTTATCTGGCATTTAACCTTGTCTCCATGGGAAAACTAGATCTTTTGCCACAGAGTGAAACTTTTGAATTACTGATCTAATGTAACATGAAACTAACACTTGGCATTGAACCTTTCCTTTGTGTTGCATATAGGAAGGATAATGATGTCATTTATTACCTGAACAATCTATTTCCATTCAATTTGAGCTGTATTATTTAAGTGCGACTTGCAGATGTATTGAAGATTTACAAATACAGGAGAAGTTATTTTTTTAATGTCAGAGTATAAAATGGTATCCCGGTTTACAATATTTTAAAGATGGTACAGAGTTGTTTTATTGACCCACCTGTTTACTGAAACCAAATAGTTCTCATTATAACAAGCTCAGTGATATAAAGGGCTGAGCATCCCTCTTTACTCAGAGGGACAGATAAGAGCCCTAAAGAGAGAAGCCTCAAGTTAAACCAGCTTGGGTAAAATTATACAGAAATTTTTTCATGAGAACAGTTTTGTTCAAGGTTCTGAGACATGTCTAGTCTGTTTATAACCAAAGAAGACGATAAACTCCAGGAAAGGAATGAGTTTTGGATGAAACAAGGGTTTTGTAGGGGAGAACAGAATGTGAATATGGCCTCTAAAATTTTGGCATTTTTACTGGGATTTAGGAACAAAGAGATGTGAACAGTCTACATAAAATAACTGCCATCACACTCCCAAAGCATTTACAAATTTGTTCAGCTTCAGATATGAGTACCGGATACAATTCAAGTGAGAGATACAGGCAACCCCACTTAACAGTGTTTTGCTTAGTGCTATTTCACTATAATGCTCATTTTAAATTGATAACTGATTTCACTTAGCACACAGCAAGTTTTGTTATAATGCTGTGTCCAATGGCGGGCTTTCACTCCAAAACCCCGCCCCTATCTGGGGTAGAGGCTTGTCTCTATCATTCTATGTTTTTTGTCAATCTCTGGTGCTCATCGCCTTGTCTGAGTGGTTTTCTCTTTTTTTCTTTCTTACTCTATCTTCTGCACCAAGACAGTTGTAGCACCTTGGCTAGCAGGCCGAAGTCCACCGCAATGTCTTGCTGGACTCTCCCACACGTCCATGATCTCGCCTGCCACGACTTATTGTTACGGGAGAAAATAGAATGCTGGGGCGTGTGGGTTTTGACACTTTCACTCTTGAAATCTGTCTTAGTGTAGTAAGGGCTCCACCAACCCCTACGCCCTCGCCCATTCCACTGGTTGTTAATTCATTAGTCTCAACAATCTGCCTCCGAGCAGTACAAATGCTCTGTGGGTCTCTAGGTCTGGCTAATCAATAGCCCCGATAGGCTCGGTTGTACTTTACTTGGCTTGGAGCCTTGCACAGACCTGCCATTAATCCTAGCCAGTTCTTTTACTGGCCTGTTGTCCTGATAGTTGCAAACCCAGTATCTATCTGGGTTGACTTCCCTCTCACTCTAACGAAAAGGAGAACGAAAACAAGCTGGCACTTCTCCTGCCCTAATATTCCCAGCTTTATGGTACCCTTTTTTTTCAGCCCTGCCATTAGGGTCTTTACGGTACCTTCTAACTGCCACCTGGGCAGTTTCAGTTTCTCTCTGGGCATTTCCTTCAGGGTTCATTCCCCTAGCAGCTCCCTCCACTTCTGCTTCTCTTAAACCCAATTTCCATTGCATTCTCAGTGCCTTTGGCTATCCTCGCCATCGCTCTGCTTGAATCAGCCACTTCCGGTTTCTGGTGTTCCCTTTTTGCCTGCCCTGGGTCTCCTTCTATCCTGGAGTTCTGGCTGACTCCCCCGCCTTCCTGAAACACCAGGTGAGGAAGGAGCCCTGCGATGTTCTTTGCAATTCAGTGGGACCAATTTACTTCTCTGGGGCTCTTCTCTTTCCTCACACACTTGCAGTTGCCATCTTGGGTCATTAAAAACAATTGCAGTCGCCATCTTGGGTCATCAGATGCTTGCAGTTTTGCTTAACTTGCATTTTGCTTAATGCTTGGTTTTTCAGGAACCAATTAAAAGTGCTAAGAGAGGGTTGCCTGTAATGAGTTTCATTTACTATGGGATAATTGCAGCTGCACAACAGTTACTGTAAAAACTAAACCAGGGCAACTTACCCCTGTTTCATTTGTTACCATTTCATTACCATGGGATAATGGCAGGCACGGGAACAGTTATTGCATTTCAGCTGTTCTATGGTAAGTTCTAAACCCTTGTCCATATCCCAACATGCAAATAGTTTATATACAAGAATCAGTTCTCTTACTCCTGAAATGCAGATATCTGTAGGTCAAAAAGGCAATAGCTGCTTAACAGCAAATGCAGCAATATTACACAATAAAATTGTCTATCTAAAAATAATACTAAAAGGGATGCTTTCAGGATTGGTTGATGTTAAATAAGATAACAATGACAGGTGTCCTGAACAAAGATATCTGTTGATCTAAGATGCCAGTAGACGATGAGACCAGCAATAATGTTAAAACCACTATTTTTAAAGCAGAGACACCAAATGCTATATTTCTGGAAACAGTTTTCAGGAACCTGGAGTGTTCTTCAGCTCCTAACATACCTGTTTAGTAAGGGACATCATAATCATTATGGACATATTTTAGTTTGCATGAAAATAACTTGATCTTGAGACTTTTGTAAGACTTATTCCAGAAAGCTGCTAATGTTTCAGTCTTTTTTGGTGTTCAGGATATGTTTGTGAGGTATGCTTAATTAGGATGCAAACATATCTAAGGCAAGATAGTGTTCCTTTAAAAAGATGTCGCCACTATACTATTCAGGTTTTTTTTAAATCCCTGTTATTGTTAACTAGACACTAGAATTAATTCTCTCTGGGGGATCGTTTGATACTCTTGGTTTTCTTACAGGTGCTGAAAATAAATAATCCACTTTAAAAGTCATTTTAATGAATCTTTTTATGCAAAAGACAGAAGGGATCATATTTAACATTTCAAGGTTGTCATGAGAATATGAGGGATACCTGTTCTTGTTAAAATTCCTGTGTACCATACACATTTTTAAAAAATTCTTTCTTTTGCATCCTTTGAAATATGCACGTTTTCATTAATATTTATAAATTAAAAATGTTCATTTTATACAGTTAAAAGTTTTTAAATGTTATATATTCTTGTTTCTTGAAAATATCTTACTTTATTATGAAGTAGCAATATCCTTTGTAGCTATGGCTGAAACTTTATAAAACTAATTTTTGGGTCCCAAAACAAACTTTCACAAAAGGAATTGCTCGGAAAATTTATATATCACATTTCATGCCAGGATGGGATATTTCTTTAAACTTTGGAAGAATATGAGAAAACACTCTAAAGTTCAGAAAATTTTTGTTACTGATTTTTTGGAAATGTTTTCTGTTTTCTCTTTGCTTCATTTTGTCTGAAAAATATTTGTGCCTTCAATCTTGATCTTTCCTTCTGTTGGTTGCTCAAGAGCTATCGCCTTCATTGTGAATAAATATAGTTTAGAATTTGGGAAGACTCTTGGGAGAATTGCTAGGCTCTATAATAGCAAGATCATCTTGTAGAATCTGTATGACTTTTGTAAGGCGGAAACAGATGACACCTTTGTGCTGCTATAAAAATGTGGCACTTGTGGCACAAAGGCAAAGTACCTATAACTTATAAAAGTTATAGCTCTACCTTTTGTTGCAACACAAATGCCTAACGTATGTGGCATAAGTAGTATTAATTTGTGATGTAAGTAGTATCAATTTGTGCTACTTTATTGCAACAGACATCGGTTAGATTTATGGTGGGAGAGTGTGATCAGCCTAGAGCTGCCTGTGCTCTAGCCACCCCAGGCAGGCACTCCCAGTGCTTCAGGGGCTCAGTCCTGCTTGCCCTGGGAATTCCCATTCCTGGGGTAGGCAGTACTGGACCCTCAAACCCTAGGAGCACCTGTCTGGGTT